GCACAAAATGGGAAGATTTTACTTGAAGAAGGAGGTCCAATAACGACTGAGAACTTGAACCATACAGGGCTTTATAAATTAATAATCTGCATTTTGAACTGCATTAGGAAACCTGCTGGTAACCAGCATAGCTACTGCAAGTTGCAGAACTTTCTGTTTACAAAGGGAAAATCTGTTAGCAACATTTCAGATCAGTTGCAGGCATCCCAATATAAAACATAATACCATCCCAAAAGGTAGGAATAAAAATCAAATGTCTCATTAAATTGATGGAATGACATGTGATGAAGACCCTGAGAAATGGGGCAGAGAGAAACTACCTAGGACAGGGATCTCCAACCTTGGCAACTTTATGACTTGTGGACTTCAATTCCCAGAATTCCTCAGCCAACACATGCTGGCTGAGAAATTCTGGGAATTGAAGTCCACAAATCATAAAGTTGCCAAGGTTGGAGACCCCTGACCTAGGATATGGTCAGATAAGGAAGGCCATACCCTACAGCTGTGTAATGGGAGAAGAACAAGGCTCAGAAGGGACCCTCTCTAACTTCTCAAGGATGCAATGAGCAAAGGATACAATATGAGAGCTGTAGTTTCCGACTTGCAAGATTGTACTATTGTAGCCTTACAATGAAATAGAAATAGCTCATCTGGTCATGTTTCTTGTCTGATGTACCCAAGACTGACAGTTGGAGAAAAGGATTCAAAATAGAGGGAAGTGCAATTTTCTTCACTTTGAAAATGAAAATCAGATATGCAGATATAGAATGTGAGATACTTGACTGAGTAAGAGCGCTGTGAATAAAATTTGAGAACGGTAGTTGATTGAGAACTGATTATAAATCAGTAATGTGAGGTGGCTACAAAGAGAAATGCAATTTTAGGCAGCATCGACAGTAATACATTTTAAAACTAGGAAATGTAGCCATTTCACTCTATTCTATTTTGGTTGGGCTGCCTCTCAAATCAGTCAGACTGCGTTCAGTTCTGGGCACTATATTTTAAGAAGATTCAGAGAAATTGGAACAGATTCAGAAAAGGGAAACAAACATGACCAGGGACTAAAAACTAAGCCCAAAGAAAAGTGATCGATATAGCTGTATATTTCTGAGAAAATATGATAGGTATAAAGGGTGAAACCACTGAGACAGGAATCTCTGGTTCTCATGCCTCAGAAAGCCATTTTTGTCATATATGTATGTATGTATGTATGTATGTATGTATGTATGTATGTACGTACAGTATGTGTGTGTGTGTGTGTGTGTGTGTGTGTGTGTATTCATGATTTTTTTCAATAAACATTTGATCTAAGCTTTTTTCATCTGCTTGGAACGTGAAGCTAAAGGAGAGGATATAGAAAATTTTATCACGTTTACAGCTGTAACATCTAAAGGGAGATATGGTAAATTTTAAAATATTTGAAATAATGTGGTGAAGTACTCAGTTTGATTAGAAACACTACCCATTTCAATTTATCTGGCTACACACTAGCTCCTGAAATCCCAATCCCACATCATTTTAATGAAGGAGGAAGGACCTTTATAAACATGACCAAGAGTGGCATTGGAGAGAGTTACTAGGGCAATGTATCATGGTTTAAATCAGGGGTCAGCATCCTGCAGCTCTGGAGCCTCATGTGGCTCTTTCATGCCTCTGCTGCAGCTCCCTGTCACTCAAAATATGTGTCACAACTGCCAATGTGCCAGCAATTTATTGAGCTTTTCAATCCCCGGTAGGCCAACCATGGATAAATCCAAGAAAAGAAAAGTTTCAGAAGAAAACAGAACATTTACTTCAATTACATATGCTAGTTTTGTGGCCGCTCAAGAAATAGTCAGGCACGGGAAGGGTTTTGTGGCTCCTGGTGTTTTCTTTTCTGTGGGAAATGGGTCCAAATGGCTCTTTGAGTGTTTAAGGTTGCAGACCTCTGGTCTAAATAGATCTTCCCAATTCAACAATTTTAAGTATTTTTCATGCTTTTCTCAGCTTCAAAAACTTGTTGCATTAAGAACAAGCAAACAACTCTATCTGGCAAAAAGATGTATTTTGTTCAGTTGTGGTATTGTAAATTGGATGCTATTTTTAAGAAAGAATGGCCTTAGTGATCACAATTCTTTTCCACATGGAGTCTGAAATGATGCTGACCATGTTTTTTGCCTGAAACCACCACCACACCCCACGTAATTTTCAAGTCATTTTGGACTAGGACCACGCTTCTTAACAATTTTGTGTTCCCACAGTAATATTATTCTGGAAGGCACTTGTCTAAGAAAGAGGAGGGGGGAGGGGGAGGTCAGAGCACCCTAACTTTTCAAAACTCTTCTTCTATCCAATTAGTGAAGTATAACTCTATGTCATTAAGGGTCAATAATAGATGAGCTGTTCGTGCTCTCGGTGCTGAATAATGTACTACCATTTGTACTGATTAAAAGCAGCCTTCTGGAGGGGCAGCAAATCAAAACTAGATTCGTAGCTGGAGTGAAAATATGAAGCAGCTTACTCCACCCATGGCTGAGCTGGAAAGGAAATGTCCAAATGCCCAAGGAAATATTACTGCTGGTTCAAATCAAGAGTCATGGACTTTTCCTAGCTAGGATGTCACCTGGCAACTTTTCTGTGTATATTGGTGAGGGCCACTGTCTTGTTAAATGTCAGGCAGTATCCAGGAGCCAGACAATTAGTTCTTTGAAAATCCAGAGACAATAGGTAGGTGTTTTGCCCAGCTATGGACCCCAAAGAACACAGCACATACAAAGCCTATACAACACTTAGTTTACTAAAATAACTCAGTCTTTTTCAAACAAAGGCTGTTAATAAACTTTCTTAACAGCCTACAAGAAACCAAAGATAAAGTAATCACAATCTTACTATGTTTGGCAGAAAGCCCGGAAGCAATTTACAGAGCATCCAGACGCAAAGGAGAGTGAACTAAAGTTGTTCCCTACAAATTGCTTCAGTTGGTGTTCCTCCTTAAATAGGCTAAGGGAGTGACCAATTAGTTCCAAGCCTTACTCTCGAGGAAACCTCCTCCTGAGGAGCCACTCCTGCTTTTGGCAGCTCTGCGCACCCGTGCATTGAGAAAAGGCTCCTCCTCTTCGTCATCTTCACTTTGAGGAGCTTCTGGAGGTTCTGAAGGCCCTAGCTGAATCCCTGCCTCTGGCACCACATCTTCTCCAGCCTCCTCATTGTCTGACTCGAGTGCCAGCTGCACAGGCTGCTGGCACAGCACCACACCAGCCACCTCATTGTCAGAATCAGCTATAATCTGCACAGGCCACTGATGGGCCACAACAGGTAGGTAAGTAAGTGCCAGTAAATTTTACATTTTATTTTTAACTGTAGCAGACAAATAAAACCGAAACACATAAAAGCATAACAAACCAAGGAAGATGCTCTCTCTGCAGCTCTTGGGAGCCTCTTTTCAAGCAGTGGAAAGGCCCTGGTACCCAGTACTGAGTCCTCAAGCCTACATAGAGGCTACAAGCTAAAAGGGCAATTCTAAAGGGTTTGTATCTTTAATACCTGGCTCCTTCATAGCTCTGCTTTCATGCTTCCGAGACTTCAGGACCTGACTTTGATTAGGTATTTGTGCATAATTCTGAGATGGGAACAAAAGTTCTGAGAACTTTACTGATAAATCAGTGCTACCCTAAAACAATTTATAGCTGTGTGAAGATTCCCCTGCCTTTCCTTTATCCATCAGTCAAAAGTAAAAAGCAAGCTGGAAACTGTTGGATATATGGGGAGGATATCCCTGGATTATGAAACATCTGTTAAGGCCACAAGATGAAAACCTTTCCATCTTCAGCAGCACTTAGCAGAACCCCCATGGCTTTTCTGCCCAACTTCAATGGGAATTACATTTCTTCCCCCTTTTGTCAGATGCTTTGTCCAAGAGTGATTTTTTTCCAGTGCTTTAATAAAATGATTCCCTAGATCATTTATTGTTTATTAATTAGACTGAAGATACATTATTTTGTTTGCGGTTCCCATATGGAACTCTGTGAATAAGCTACCCATTAAAACAGGTCCTGCTGTGTAAGGAGCATCATTTGGATTGCTTACAGGCTCACATGAATTTTAGTTAGAGCCACGTTTCATTCTTATAAAATAAATAATGTATTTCAGGCAAGGAAGCCAAAGAAGATGATATTCTAAGCAGCAGCTCTAGCAACCAAGCTATACTTTATCTGCTGATGCATTTTCTTCCTTTATCTTTGCAGCTTCTTTCAGGAATGAGGGATTGAAATTTGTTTTATTAATTATTTACTTCTTATACTGACACTGTGCCATAAAGGAGCTCAAGATGGCATAAGCAAGAAGAGGTTTTTTTTTCCCCCTTTATTTTTATCCTAATGAGAAAACTTGTGTGGGGTAGGCAGCACTAAGAGGTGGTGATTGGCTCAAAGTTATTCAAGGTCCACCACAATATTCCCAATCGCAGTCTGGTTTTCTAATTATTGTACCATACTGGATCTTAAATCACTATATATAAAATAATAATGATAATAACAGTCTTTAAAATCTTGATGCAGTTAAGCCATAGAGAGATGATGAAGGTGTAAAAATGAACACTGGAAAATGGGCTAAATGGTTTTTCCTATCACAGAAGATTAGATAGATCAGATTTGTTCCTGATAAGTATATAAAAGAATGCTTGCCAGTCTAATCAAGTAACAATGGCTCTCTGCAACCCCAGACTCTCTGAGATCTGATAGGTCCCAATCCTACTGGATTGAGGTCCAGGGGTTAGATGGTCCAAAGAGAACTCCCTTTTACTGTCTTGTTGGGTTTACCCTCAGTGACCATTGATGGTTTCTTATCACACCAATGTTATTTTTTATTTTTATTTTATGTATTGTTAGATGCCCAGAGTCACACTTGGAAAACAGGCAGCCATATAAATAGATTAATTAGTTAACTAAAAAAGACATTCAAATGTTATTCTTCAATTGACATTTCAGCAATCTCTTTGGTCCCATGTATCCATCTCTACTAACCTCTCTTTCTGGTTCTTCAGCCTTACCAAACAAAATCATTTTTTTTTTCCTAGTCAGCCATAGGATTGTGCAGATTTTTAGATGGGTGTTCCACTTTTTGACAGTCCAACTGAAGCACTTTCTTGAAGCTGCTTTCTAAAGAAAAGTAACTTCTTGCTTCTAAGACTGCAAACAAAAAAAAATCAATCATATTGTTTGAATTGCTCTGAGATCTTCCCAGAGTCACCCCCCCTCCCTCCGAGTTCATGCTATTAGAGAAGATTGAGAAGATTTGTCTCCTGTTGTGTTGATTGAAGTGTTCCAGGCTGGATAGTTTTGGCAAATGTTTCAGGAATCCTCACAACTTATGACAAAGCTGCCAGCCTTGAGCTTCAAAGGTCTTCCAGACTGAGCCACTATGTCACCTTGAATCCTGCAGTGTCACTGAAGGTATTCAACCTGAAATCACTTTATCCAGCATTAGGTGAGACAGAGTCTTCTGCAGCATTTGTCCAAAGTAGTTGTAATGTGGCTGATCTGAACTTTGCTGAGACACATCATGTTGTCAATTAAATCAAGTGAATCATGTCTCCATGGTACAAATCTCTTCATGCAGGCACCTCTAAAGTTTCATTTTCATGTCCTTCTCATTGTGGCAGAAAACTCTCTCACTAAGTATTCTTACAGATCATGTTCTTATGACATTGCCTTTGTCTCCCTTCCACCAGGAAATCTGCTAAAATGAACCTTTATTAATTCTCATTTAAAAGGAGTGTTTTCCTTCTTTTTGTAGTACAAATCTTGCTATATACCTTACCAATCATTTGATTGGAAGTTGGGATCTGCCCATTTTTAAATAGTTTGTGTGTAAATGAACACTGAACACACACATACATACACAAATGTGAACTAGGCAACAAACTCTTGTTTCATAATTGTCGACCTACAGTTGTTAGCATTTTAACTGCTCTTTTTATGATCTTTAAACAATTCTATTTACAACACTGATTCAGAAGAGTTTAAGATTAATATAAAATGGGAACCAGCATTTTTTGGGAAGAGAGAGATAGGTAGACAAACAATTGGAAAAACATCATGGAGCTTTGTTTTTGTACATGATAATTTCAGTCACATTATTGTATGTACAAATATGGAAAGATTCAGTACTACCCATAATACAGTAAAGATTGGTAAAGATAATGGAATTTGCTGAGATGACTAAATTGACTTCTTTTATCAGAGAAAATAAAGATTTACACACACACACGCACACACACACACACGTGGGTGTGGGTGTGATTTATGGTTTTGATAAAGACAGGAAAAATTATAGAAAGACAGTTATATTGCAAATATAAAGTAATTTATACCTGCTGTAAAGATACTACTTCATTGTATCTTTTTTCTTTAATATTTACTTTTACTTTTTTTTCTTTCTTGCATATTTAGCTTTCTCTTTGATTTTTCTTTTTCTTTTCTTTTCTTCTATATTAGTTTGTATTAATTTTTATCTCTTTTTTAAAAAAATCTTTAATAAAAATTACATTATATATTACCTGTATTATTCCATATATTTTAATTTTGTACTGTAGCTTGTTTATACTATTGCTTGGTGTTGATTTTATTAACTGTTCTGAATATGCTGGTGGAACTGGGATAAATCAATATGGTATGCAAGTAATTTAGAGACTTGCAAGTCAACATACTTCTGTCTACATCCCATAGAAGCCTGAGTGGCATAGGAGGCTAATGCCTCCTACAAAGGCAGCATTTAACATCCAGCTGCCTGCAATTCCTGCAAGTTCAATTCTCACCAGGCTCAAGGTCGACTCAGCCATCCTTTCTAAGGTGGGTAAAATGAGGGCCCAGTTTGTGGGGGCAATAAGCTGACTTTGTATAAAATATACAAAGTATGAAGGCTATTGCTTAACGCATTGAAAGCCGCCCTGAGTCTCCGGAGAAGGGCGGCATATAAAAATAAATAAATAAATAAATAAATAAATAAATAAATAAATAAATAAATAAATAAATAAATAAATAATCTGTTAGGAGGTATATGCAATGCACTGGCAAAAACTGGGGATCCATAAATTTCTATGTCATATTTAGACACTCACAGACATCATTTTAATATAACAGAAATGACAGATATAGGTATTATAAGGATACACAGAAAATATTTTCCTGCTGGATGTGTTGGTAAGAGGGCTATTCCCATTTATATCTTTGGGACATTAACATGTCTGAGAACAATGTCAAAACTAAGTTGGTTGACCTTATTTCCTAGAATTCTAGAAGCCTTTTGAATAGAATAAGAAAATCAATAAATACCTATATCCATTTCACAGGCTTAGCAATCCATTTACATATATCAGCATAGAAGTGATTTATATTTAGAGGCATAGAAGCTCATTCAAAGGGAACTGTCAAGAATTTTGACAAAAGCAGTTCACACACCTTTGAAGTTTTAATGTCTTTAACAAAAATATCTCTCTTCGATGTCTATAACTTTTGTGAGTATATCTGCGCACACACATTTGTGCATATGTTAGTATTTGATGGAATTGTGTAACACTAAAGCATATTCACGGAGTAAAGCCTACCATATGTCAATGAAGCAGGTACAAGACTTAGAAAGTTATAAATAAAAATAATATCTGAGGATTAATTCTTCCATGAAGCCGCAACATTGTAAAACTTGTATTGTCTGTGTTTAAACATTCATCACTTGCAGGAGGCAACTCTATCCCCAGAAACAACTAGCAGATGCAGGCAAGGTTTAATTTATCTCTTTTGCTGAGATCAGGAACCAGGAAAAAGTGCCCTGTTTCCTCTCTTACTACTCTATTCCTTGGTCCTAACAGCGTGCGACAGACAGAGTTTTAAGAGAAGGAACAAATCTGTTGCCAGAAGAGTGGTAACTACTGCCAGAAACTAAAAAAAAAAAAAAAAAATGGCTGTGAGGTTCCTTAGAGGAATTCAATGTATGTCAGATGTCTCAGATACCTTCTCTACAAAGAGATTCATTGGGAATTATGAAAAGAAACAGATACACACAATGTCTAAGCAGCATCCTTTCCATTTCTATAATCCTGTCTAGAATGCTGTCACGGTCTCTGGGTTGTCCTAGCACAATAAAAACATAATCTCAGATCCTTTTGAATTAAGAACTGATTGCAGCTGTGTTTTGTGCCCACTGAAGCTCTGTTATAAGCTGCCAACAAGATGTGTTTGAAACATCATCTGATATGAGCCTTCGAAGTTATTATTCAAAATTCTAACTTTGGAAGTATGGCATAGTGAATTTGTTATCTGATTGGAAACGTGAATTGCAAAAAACCCTCCTAATCTTTTTTTTTTATTGAAAAAGTTTTAAAACAAACACAATTTCCCCACAACCCCCCACAACCCCCCCTCCCCCTCCCCGACTTCCCAGAGCAGAACACAAGGTATTTCTATTGACCTTTAACAATAAACTAAATTGCATAACCAATCATTAAACTAACACCCCCTAACAAAAATTCTTAACCCCCCATATATAAAATCCTATTTCTTAAACATAATACTTCTAATATCACTTATATAACGCTTATACAAATAAAAGAGATCATTCATAAGCTATTTGATATTTTTTGGTCTGATACTTATTTTGTATATAATCAATCCATCTTCTCCAGTCCTGTATATATCTTTCTTGTGTGTGATCCTTCAGATATGCTGAAATTTTAGCCATTTCAGCTAAATTAGTTACTTTCAATATCCAATCATAAACCCTCCTAATCTTTGTTTTATGTTGGTCCTTCCAAGGGATTTTCTACTTTTGGAAGCTTTAGAAGGCCTGTATAATTTTTTTAAAAAAAATAAAACAGATTTGTCCATATTGCCTTGCATTCCTAAATAATCTATTGTAGAAAATACACATTCCTGGTAGACGAGAGTTCTAAAGAAATATTCCCAAATGTTCTTTTAGAGAAAATAAAAGGCACCTCCTATAATCTGTGAGTGATATTCTTTTTCAAAATAGAAATACACATTTTAATTAAAATTACTATTTTTATTCACCATAAAATTCACAATTAAAATAAAATACCCAGCCGATTAAATACCTCATCAAGCCATCAAGCCAAATCAAAGACTTATCAGTTAAGGCTTCTTTAATGACTCCAACTAGTAAGAAAATAGTTTGGGGAAAATTAAAGTTTTCAATTAAGGGAAAAAGATCTAGACTTCTCCCCATCCCCTCATCACTTTTATTCCAGAGATGTTTGGTGACAGGAAAATGTCAGATCTAATTTGATTAAAAAAAAAAAAAAAGTCAAATACCACCCTGAGGATAACAGTACTCTATCTTGACAGCTTCAGTTCATTAACATAATAGCCTTCTTGAACACCTGGGATTAAACCCAGGAGGAATTGCTGTGCTATATTTCTCAGGCCCTCTTTGGTATAATTTTGTCTGAAATCAAAGCAGCAACAGGAAATGTGAGACATGGAGTTCCAAATCTCAGAGGGGAAGAAGTTAATAGCAACAAAGCTCCTCTCTTTCTAGGTCCCGTCAAAATGTCAACGTCGACTAGAAATGTTACTTTGATATTCATACGCACAAAGACTATATCAATGAGAGAGAAGAAAGATGTATTTGGAGACGTCATTGGGAAGACAATTATCAGTAGAGATGAAAGCACCATTCATCTAAATTCCTTAACACATAGGCCTGGCAACCATGAAGTTTAATGCAAAATATTTTGAAAATGGTATCTTACTAAAGATGTAGGTGCTTTGTTTTTCAGTATTGCAAATTGTTAAATGTATATTGATCACCAATTCTGAAAAAGGTTGTAAGTGAAATGTTTAGTATCCACCAGAGAAAGGATACAACAGAATTTTGAATTGTCACTTTTGAACATACAATAAAGAGCAGGACTCATAAGATATTTTGGTACAGTAGAAATATGTGGCTATAATAGCATAAGTTTTTCCAAGAAATGTCTCAGGATGATTTCATTTAATTGCCTTAAGTGGATTCTTTAGAGAGGCAAAAGGAACGCAGATGTAGGAGATTGGTATTTGGACATTCTGCATCAAAGATATTTAACTACATCTTCATATGTCTATGGAATTAATCTATCTGATAGATATTTTCTCATATCCCTTTATTTTAAAACATTTTCCCAGCATTTAAGTCC